TGATCGAGCGATGGCATGCATTAGACTGTGGACATGCACGCAGCCCTGCGGCGCAGCACTTGTGCCGGCCACTACCTACCTAGGATTGCTTTCCAAAGGTCAATATACTCCTGATATATTGCTCTGTACGTTACAGAATGGCGTAAGCCGGTGGTTACACTAATTTCGCGATGGGAGGAGGCGCAGCCCAAATATCTTCACTGAAAACTGAGCTCAGCACCGCGCAGGCGCGCAAAATTTCTTGCTTAGCGTAAAGCAAGGTCATTTTCTCTCAGTTTTCTTGCTTCTACGCGTCTGAATTAAGTTTTTAACCGTTACCACACAGCCACGTGCATATTGATAGATGTCAACAAATGTGCCAAGGGGAGGGCAACATGCTTCCGGGATACTATTTGTGCACTCCCCTGGCATAGTCGGTGAGACGCCTTTCACCGCGTGGGATGAGCGGGGTAATGACAAACGTAAGTGCATCATCTTGTAGATGAAAGGCAAAACGTTAGGGGATAAAGGAGGTTGCCTGTGAAAATCCGTGAAGAAGTGCTATCACTCCACTAAAATGTCCCCCTTTCAGAAGGTTGGCATCGAGAAATACACTCATATCCTGCGTTCGCCCTTAGGCACGGATGTCGATTCGCTTTCTTTTGGAGGATCACTGGCCCCCAACGTCCAATCTTATCCCCCACGATGAGCTCCCCCAACCTTCTGTAGGCTAACTGGAGGCAGGACATTAGAGATGGTACCTTAAGAAATTATGTCAACTTTAAAGAAGGTTTTTACTGATTGTTTCACAGGTAAAAAAACGAAGAAAGTGCGATTTGCGATGTCGTGGCCAGTCAAGTGCAGCTGACCGAGCTAAATACATTTAAAGCTCCACGTCGTACCTTGCTTACTTGAGCGTTCTTCTGCTTTCCTTACATCTTGTGTGTTTTTATTTACACGTTAATTATATGTTGTTAACTTTGACCTTTTTTTGCTATTTCCTGAATGTTTTGGCGTTATTCAGCGATATTTCAGTTTCCACAGACAGCAGCAAGTCGCATTATTATGGCATGACTCCTCATCGGAGGTTGAGAACAAACCAGTCAAATGTTACTACCTAACAACGTCACGAAGTTGTTAGCCGTCTACGCTGAGAAGCCTTGAAATTGTCCGGCCTTCATCGGAATAATTTTCATATTGTTCTCTGAACAGATAAAGAGCGTCGGCAACATGCAAATAAGGATTCTACTTTTACTTGTCTGGTTTCACCACCACATGCCATAACGGTTCGCGGTACTGTGAACGCTCATGCAATGTTCTGGTAAATATGTACAAAGTGCGCCCGGGAAACATACCCCTGGCCTATCTTCTAAACTATGAATTGACATTCTGAGACGTGTGAAGGTACTTCCTCCAGAGACGGCACGTTTTTTCCCGCCCGCTGGCCACCTTCTAGTGTTAGCCGCGGGCCGACGCCGCGCTGCTTACGGGGACTGCAACGCCGGATGGTGGGGTTCGTTCGAAGACCCGCAAGAGCGTATAGTCGGCTGTTCTGTAATTTTTCTACTGCCCAGTTCTCAACAAAGGTTGAACACTACCGGACAAGCATGGGTTAGTAGTTTAAATGCAACGTTATGATCCCATTTCGATTTTCTATATACGTTCACTATCTTCTGCGTTCGAGACTGTTATGAACTTTTTCCAATACTCAATTCTGAACAAAGGTTGTGCATTCCCAGATAAACATGGGTTGACCACTTTAATGTAACGTTATGACCTCATTTCGATCTACAATTTACGTTCACAAAGCTCTGTACAACCCAGAAAAATTCCGGGGCAGTACCTGAGTGCTATCGGCTTAGAAAAAAATTAACCCTTGCAAAATAGATGGCCGTGGGGCTCATTCCATGCAATTATTAAGCGCCGGGTGCCTGCAGTTTTGACTTCAAATCCGAACAGTCGCATTTTTCGGTGCCCTCCAGTAAAAACAAGTACATAGTAAAGCAAAGCAAAGAAAATTAGGTTTGTGATAGCCAGTGATTCTTTTGAGGTGGTAGGAGGCCTTTCACAAGGAGGGGGCCGTTTGTGAACTCTGTGTCCCATCCCCACCTTACCAAGAACTCGAAGTGCGCCTCCGCTGCCCCAGTTGCCCCTAAAATCCCAATGATTATCGTCATCAACCCCCGTCCCAGCCAGCAATCTATCGGAGCCTCGGCTGGGCAGGTCTTATAGCAGCGCAGCCTGGTCTGTGCTCCGCCATGACTCAGTCTCTTATCTAAAATGGATTAAGCTGCGGTACTGTCCAGGTAGAGCCAAGCTTGTGCTCAGCTGGGCATGCAGTGCGTTTTCCGCGCATGCCGTCGCAGAATGTGTATGAGATCTGGCCGGACTCAGGCTGGTTTCCCAGTAGTATTCAAATTCCGGCGCAGCGTTTGCCAGCGGCTGCACGACAGTTGCATTCGCACGAGAGGTGGCGTCAGTATTGTGGGGGTCGTCGTGCGCGATTTTTCTATTGTGCGTCGTGCGCAGCTGCTGGATGGAAGTTGACTTTAACTTTTCAACTTTGTCTTCAGTCTTAAAGAGCTTTGGGGTATCACCATTGCTTTATTGACCATATTCAAGCGCTATGCTTCGAAAGGTTTCCCAGCACTTCTAAACTCGCATAGCATACGACCGAGCCGAGATGGCGAAGAAAGATAGCCTCTTTTCACACTAACATCATTAGACAGGGCCATCATTTGGTACCAAACCTGAAATACATGAAAACGGGGATGAACAGGAGGGAAACCCATCGTTTGCCGTCAGGTCCAAAACTATGCTGTTTATGTTACTCTGAAAGCGACGCAAAAGTTGCACTCGATGTAAGTGAGCACCCCTGTTGCAACATTTACCGCTGGATCCATAAACGGTCTGCGGGCAGAACCAGGCCATGTGCCGCCCCTGACACGGCCGGGGCTAACTCCGGGGTGCCGCGACGAGGCGCCAATCGGAGCTTTATCAGGCCTGTGTCGCCGGTCGGGGACTGTCCCTGTGGTGGCGTTACATCCGGCTGAACGTCGGTGTTTTGCAGCGGCGGCGGAAGTCAAGGAGTAAGGGCAGGGTTGGACGCCTCATGGCGTATTCGGCGCTATGGCGTATTATTTCAATTTCGAAAGTGCCCATTCAGCCCCATCGTTCACTTTTGGTAACTACTTGGCGCACTTATTTTCCGTTGCGGTGATTTTGGGTTACAGATGGCTAGGCGGATTTTGTCAGGTCATGAAGCGTCCTCGACCCGAAAACGACGTCTGTTCCCCGGCATTTAAACGTCTGTGAAACAGCTTTGTCCGGCGTTGCGCCCCACAACATCTGCTCCATCCATGACTGATTGTTGACGGGCATGCCCCTCAAAAGGACAAAAAGGGATATTTTGATATATTCTGGTTGATTTATTGCTTGTTACTCCTCGGCTTTTATAAAATACTTTACTCTTTAGTTCGTCATCAAATATATCAACACTGCTTTCCCATGTTCACTGCCTTTATGTGGCTGCGATCCAGTACAAGAGTGATTGGACTGTTTCCTTTATTTGTGATATGTGATGGACGCACTTAATCTCTCCTGTCAGCGTTTGGTAATGCTTCTAATTTGTACTTTATCAAAAGTATACTTAACACATATTGCCATTGAGTTGGGTTACTTAGACCCGACCAGCTTGTCGTGAAGGACCAGGCGGAAGTAAGCTTAAAACAATAGTTTCCCGGTTAAAAGCGGTAGAAGAAGAACAGGTGCTCGATTTTAGGCATAGTTCAGCGGAACAATTATGCACCGAGTACAGATCCCCTACTGTAGGCTGTTGACACGTCATTTTCCAGTCGCCATTTAGAAGACGCGCCGACTGCAAACGACAAACGTAAAATATATCGACGCTGTCATCTCCAAATGGCTCCAGGGGTCACGGGACCGGGGAGGGCAGCGCCTCCTCCGTGTGACGGAACTGCATGGCGCCTCTCCATTGACATCAGACCGTGCTGCGAACCATTTGGCGAGCGGGGTCTCTGCTGCGTCAGCTGGCCTTCACCGAACTGTGATGGCTCCAATACCCAGCTTAGCTGCGGACAAAGTTGGATCCTGTGGTCCATTGTTCTTCGTGCAAGTTCAGATGCAGAATGCCATTTTATAGCGTGGTGTTGTGTTCACAGTCTGTTCAGCAGTGACCTGGTGTGAGCACTTCACAGTCAAGAACACAGGGTACAGAGGTGTTAGCGTTTGTCGGCACTGGCCGCAGCACCATTTGTAAGCAGTTTTACTAAAGTACCCTGTTGGGTTTTTTCCAGGGAAGTGTAACTGCTAAAAAGGCTGTTGCGTGTGTACCCGTTTCTTACGCAGTTAGTTCGCCGTTAATTAATTTCAGCTGTTACTTAACACCACTAAATACTTTGGCTGTTAATTTAGCCACTTGGAAATCAAACTCTATAATGAACGAGTGCAAAGGTAGCTGGTTGAAAGCGCATGGTGCGCAAGATGATCACGGCAGCAGAAGTGAAGTTGGCATCACTGCAATGGAACCTGAGCATGCCAACACGGTGTAGTCTTGTTGCTGTGGCGATTCGAAAAACTGAGTGCACTGGATGCTACAGAAGTAGCAATGCGAGCCAATTAAGCGATCTTCTTACTCGGTATGTTAATTGGCTCATAGCTGGTTTGCGGAACGTGCCCAGCGTCACCTCACGCTCAGTTAAGGTACAGCAGTGACTGGCGCGTATGCCGCGCGAGGTCAGCGACGTTTTGTGCTTTATGCATTGGTACATTCTATTGTGTTCTACACCGTGCATAGCGAAAGTATGTAACATGAAGTGTCTGTGCACAGACAATGAAGCCTCCCCAGCATTGACCGCAAACATGTTCACACTCTTTTTCCACGCACTGACATGCGCATGCATTCAACTTTCTCGGACGTGCCTTGCTGGGGCCCGAACACCCTCGGACATGTCCCCGGTGTGTTGTGTCTGCCCTGACCGAACCCTACACCTCTCCGGCAGGACGATCCAAGACCCGGCCAGCCAGCGGCTGACTTGGTACAAGGCGCCGATGGCCGTGCTGGTGATCAAGAAGGTCCGCGACCCCACCGTCCTGCCACCATTCATGGAGCTGGTCGACTGGCTGACCGACGTGGGTGACGGCGTTGGACCTGATGTACCGGCTTATCTGCAGCTGACGGATCAGCCACTCTGAGTTAATCCATTGCTGATTGCATACCGCAGCTGATTACCTCTGCCTCAACCACTCCATTTGATGTTCACTCCGACCGTAAACAGATGTGCATGTTGGTAACGGTGCGTCAGTTCTGGGTGGGTTGTGGCCTACTTATTCGTAGTTTGTGAATCCCCGACGCGCAGAATTTTCATGCTGTACACTGCACTTGACGATCAGTATTGTCATCATCAGCAGCTCCAAACTTCTTCATGTAGGTCGTCGTCATTGGGACTTTAATATCACTCGATTGCGGAGGCCATATGGTGTCGCTTGCATATCGCTCTAGCAAGAAAGGCAGGATACTGAACCCCGTGCATCTGGTTTTCCAGACGCGCCGCTTACCCACTACACCACCGGTGTCCATGTTCCCCACCTAAGCCGCTTTCGTTGCCGTGCAGGAGAAGAAGATGATCGTGTTCGTGGAGACGTCCACGGTGGAGGACCCGCTGCTGAAGAACAACCCCGCGTGGGCCGGCGGCCTCAGCAAAGTGCAGACGTTCACAGAGGGCACGGACGACCTGACGGACAAGATCGACTTCATCATCTGCCTGGGCGGCGACGGCACGCTGCTGTACGCCAGCTCGCTCTTCCAGGTACCGGCCGCGCTGGTGGTGCCGCCTGGTGGCCGACAGGTCCGGCAGCGAGCACGGCTCCTTTTTGTCCGCTGTATTCTCTAGCCAAGCCTTAGAGACACATTTCTTTTCGTTGCTTGTGGTGGCGTGTGAAAATTGCTTTGAAATGAAAAGAACATTGTGATGAGTTAGGTAGCGTACACCGCTTTCGGTGGGCATGTGCCTACAGGCAAGCTCCACACATTGGCATCACGCGGGTATATGTGTCTCCGGATCATTTGTCCCGTCTGTTTCAGCAATCAGTTCCTCCCGTGATGGCGTTTCACCTGGGATCTCTCGGCTTCCTCACTCCCTTCAAGTTCGACAATTTCCAGGACCAGGTTGATTCTGTGCTTGAAGGTGAGTGTAGCGTGCCTGCCTGTCACAAAGCAGTACTGAGCTCCAGACGTTGGGGGGGGGGGGGGGGGGCGAGTCGAGCTGCTGAGCCTCGGAGTTGGACGGGCGAGGCGACCTCCTGAGCCTCGGAGTTGCATGGGTGAGGTGGGCGCTGTCGGCCGCGACAGCAGCGCCAGGACGCCACCCCACGCTTTCGGAAGGGAACGGGCGAGAACAGACGAGCTGGGTTCGTACTGGATGGAACCAGGAGAAACTAGATGGAGCCAGATGGGACAGGGAGCCGGACGGAACGGACGAGATGAGACGGGATTGTTGGCAGCATAATGCCGTCGGACGGAACAGGACGGCACCAGGCAAATCTGAGTTGTATTTCGGGGAAAGCTGCTACCTTCTGGCACAAATACGACGCCAAAGCAAAGATCTCAATTGTTCACTGCTTTCACAACACACCTAGCTCTCGTCGGCTACACGGCGGCGCGCGGCCCCGGTATCCCCGGTGTTTTACGTTGGAAAGAGGGAGGGGGAACGGGGTGCTCAGGGCGGCCGCAGAACAACGGGCGGTGTCTGTTGTGCAACTGTGTCGGCAGGTGGACATGCGTGTACATTATGAAACCCTTAAAACATCTACATTGTATGGATCCGTTCCAGACACAAAACTATGGGCTTGATATCAGCGAAGAAGACCTTATCCCTCGCCATGATTCACCGTTTTTCACAACGTGGTCTGATAGGAGGGGTCGATGACACCCCTGCCGTTCCCAAGCTAAGAAAGATAGAGTCTAGCGGAAAACACCAATGTGTCCTTTTCAACAAAATTTCGCGGTTTGCGATAAGTTTTACATAATTTCCATGTTCCTAGGACAATGACTGACCACATAATGCCTGGTTAAACGTCACATTTTCAAGAAAATCAAAGTTTTTCGGATTGACATGCTCACATGTACAGGTACAATACCTCGTAGCGATGCGTAATCTTAATAGACTTGTTCAATTATGAATACATTGGTATGGTGTGTAGTTCGATGAGCTTTCAGCATATATATATATATATATATATATATATATATATATATATATATATGTGTGTGTGTGTGTGTGGCTCGGTTAATGTATCAATGTCGGCCCGTCACGCACGGCCTGCGGCATTGTCGGCTGCCGCGCGCCGCCCGCGCCTCCTTACACCGCCGTGCAGTGTTCCTAAAAAAGCCGCCGCTGCTCCGAAATTAAAAATGCTAGGGACACTTTTGGTGTCAAAACGCACGCAATAGATGCTTCACAGGCTATTGAAAATTTAGGTACCATTGCACGACATGCCTGAGAGGTCTCTTCAGGAAACCTCAGGGGGTGGGGTCGCACTGATTGCCCCCCCCCCCCCCCCCACCTCCACTATCAAGGCGAGTCTTAAGCATCTGGCTGGCTGTGGACATGGCGGGATATGGACATATTATCGATATGGCTGATGAGCTTGCGCAAGTCTAGTTTCACTTTTCAATGTAAATATTGCCGGGAAGTGCACATGACACATTTGTCGTAGCCTGTCCACGGACATCGTATTCTGGGCACACTCCCCTTGTTTGCACTCCTATATATGTATATATACACACACACACACACACACACACACATATATATATATATATATATATATATATATATATATATATATATATAGTATATATATATACATATATAGCCACGGCATTCTACATAAAACCATTTTGTGCCTCGAACCACCTTCTATATGAATGACAAATGAGACAAAATTCCGATGATCATATCTGACTGTCTTATAAAGATGATTTCTGCGTATACAACCTTACAACTGTAGCTTCTCACATAGCTTCAGTTTCATAGGGGGTTGACATGAGAAGCCATTTTCCGGTAAAGCAATATTTCTTCGAACGATTTTTGGTTTAAAAATTGAACATTTAACATCAGAATCGTAAACCTAAGCAACCGAAATCTGGGGAAAAATCCGGTTTTGAGGGTAGGTTGGGTCAACCTTATCAGCTCAGCCCTCCAACCAATTTAAGACGGCGACGCTCATGCCCGTCAGGGATATGGAGTGCCCACATATATCATTCCCTGTCCACAGGCTACGGAGCTCTTGCACCGCGGCCCCTTTAACGATGCTGCGTTCACTCTCTCCCTCCCTATATACAAGCAGCTGAGCACTGGCGCCGCAGCGCCGTTAGTGATGATGTTTCACTGCTTCCCTCCCTGTCCAGAGGTCGCGGAGCACTGGCGCCGCGACCCGTTCGCGACGCTGCGTTCAATCTTCCCCTCCCTGTCCAGAGGTCACGGAGCTCTGGCGCCGCGGCCTCATTAGCGGTGCCGTATTCACTGTTCCCCGCCCTGTCCACATTCACGCTGCACTGCCCTGAGCTCGCTAACGCCCTGTTCGGCAGGCCACACGGCCCTGACGCTGCGCTCCCGCCTGCGCTGCATCATCCTGCGGAAGGACTCGGACACGCGCTCGGCGCCGCCCATCAACCTGCTGGTGCTGAACGAGGTGGTGGTGGACCGCGGTCCGTCGCCCTATCTGAGCAACATCGACCTCTACCTGGACGGCAAGAAGATCACCTCCGTGCAGGGCGACGGTGAGCTCGCTTGGGACGCAGAAGGATACCTACTGACTGGCCTGCCTCCAACCTGCTGACTGACCTGCCACTAACCTGCTGACCGACCTGCCACCAACCTGCTGACTGACCTGCCACCAATCTGCTGACCGACATGCCTCCAACCTGCTGACCTGGCCTGCCACCAACCTGCTGACCGACCTGCCACCAACCTGCTAACCGACCTGTCACTAACCTGCTGACCGACCTGCCACCAACCTGCTAACCGACATGCCACCAACCTGCTGACTGACCTGCCACCAACCTGCTAACCGACCTGTCACTAACCTGCTGACTGACCTGCCACCAACCTACTGACTGGCCTGCCATCAACCTGCTGACTGACCTGCCACTAACCTGCTGACCGACCTGCCACCAGCCTGCTGACTGACCTGCCACCAATCTGCTGACCGACATGCCACCATCCTGCTGACTGACCTGCCACCAACCTGCTGACCGACCTGCCACCAACCTGCCGACTGACCTGCCACCAATCTGCTGACTGACCTGCCACCAACCTGCTCTGGCACTTTGTAGTGTTCGAAGCCGCGAACTGACGACGTTACGTTACTGAAACTAGCGCTGAGTTATGCTTTACGCAAGTCATAGCTTTGATTCAAGACTGTTTTGGTTTTGATTTTCTTATCCGGGGTCTCAAATGTTGGGCCGAACCGCTCGGAACAGCATGCCCTCTGAGGAGCGTGCGTACCCTGATAGGGCGCAGTAAAGGCCCGATACGTGGGGCAGTGAAGGCGTTGACTTTTCATTAAGTCACTCACCTCTGACGTAATTCCCGAAACGTGACGTAATGTTGCCGTTGTCCTCGTGGCGCACTGACTGCGCTGACCGCTCTGTGGCCCGTCTCGGCCCGCTCTGTGACCCGTCGCGGCCCGCTCTGTGACCCGTCGCGGCCCGCTCTGTGACCAGTCACGGCCCGCACTCTGATCCGTCGCGGCCCGCTCTGTGACCCGTCACGGCCTGCTCTATGACCCGCCTCGGCCCGCTCTGTGACCCGTCGTGGTCCGTGTCATGATGTGTCGCGGCCCGCTCTATGACCCGTCGCGGCCTGCTCTATGACCCGTCTCGGCCCGCTCTGTGACCCGTCGCGGCCTTCTCTGTGACCCGTCGCGGCCCACTCTGTGACTCGTCGCGGTCCGCTCTGTGACCAGTCGCGGCCTGCCCTTTGATCCGTCGCGGCCCGCTCTATGACCCGTCGCGGTCCGTGTCGTGATGTGTCGCGGCTTGCCCTTTGATCCGTCGCGGGCCGCTCTATGACCCGTCGCGGTCCGTGTCGTGATGTGTCGCGGCCTGCCCTTTGATCCGTCGCGGCCCGCTCTGTGACCCGTCGCGGTCCGTGTCGTGATGTGTCGCGGCCTGCCCTTTGATCCGTCGCGGCCCGCTCTGTGACCCGTCGCGGTCCGTGTCGTGATGTGTCGCGGCCGGCTCTGTGACCCTCTGTGATCTGTCGTCAGGCCTAATCGTCAGCACGCCGACGGGCAGCACGGCGTACGCGGTGGCGGCGGGCGCCAGCATGATGCACCCGAGCGTGCCGGCCATTATGGTGACGCCCATCTGTCCACACTCGCTCTCATTCAGGCCGATCGTCGTGCCCGCCGGCGTCGAGCTCAAGGTCAGTGTAGGTCAGAGGCCGTCAGTGTAGGTCAGTGTAGGTCAGCGGCGGTCTATATTGGACAGCGGCAGTCAGTGTATGAGCGAAGGACGGTGTAGGACGCTGTAGGCTGGTGTGAGCCTGGTGTGGGCCGCTGTAAGCTGGTGTAGGGTCGGTGTAGGTCAGTGAAGGTCAGCGGCGGTCAGTGTATGACCGTGGGTTGGTGTAAGCCGGCGTAGGCAGGTGTAGGTTGGTGTAGGCCGGTATAGGCTAGTGCAGACCGTTGTAGGCCGGTGTAGGCCGCTGTAAGGCCGCTGTAGGCTGGTGTGGACCGGTCTAGGCCGGTGTAGGCCACTGTGGGCTGCTGCAGGGTTGTGTAGGTCGGCGTGCGTCAGTGTAGGGTCAGAGACGGGCACGCTCGTTTATCATATGCTGCGTTTTCATCTTCGTGGAGATCGGAGTATAGAAGATTATGACCGAACACACGGTATGCAAGCAGAAGATTTAAAAAAGCTGACTAGGCCAATATATTATTTGCCGAAACAGGTTGCCCTTGGCATATTGGTAATAGCTAACAACCGTTCTAAAATAAGCAAGTGCATTGTCGCAAGTAACTATCATCACTTGAACAAGAACTCTATAATTTTTCTCAAACTGCCGTAAGCGCTTGATCATCAGTAGTGTATAGTGGCTTCATAGTAGGGCGACGCTCGGGGCTTGTCATGTTTCGTGGCGTACCGTGATTACGAGTATGCCTGGCTATTCCCATGTACTTCCTACAAATCTGTCATGCGCCAGCCAACATGTTTAGTTTATTTAGCTGGTCCTGGGCACGAATATGCTCGTTACGTAAAACCTGGACTGCGATGGATGTGAGAAGAACAGGCGAGAGTGCGCTGGGCGCCAATGTCTTGCTGATCTCAGTCCCGATACGACATCAAACGAGAATGAGTTTGCCCGTAGAATCTTTGCTGAAGAGCCGGTCTGAAATCAGCGCCAGAATGTCAGCTATGTGGCGTCTTTGTTAACGCCCACGTTGAAAGAGTGTACGCATGAAGCTTGTGTTGTTAGTGTGAGTGCCTCTGCGAAGACTTGAGTTTCCGCGTGGCCGGCGTAAGTCATCGTAAGTATGAGTGTGTCAGCGGCCGATATGAGTCACAGCGTGAGTGCGGCAGGGGCCGTGTGTGTGTGTGTGTGTGTGTGTGTGTGTGTGTGTGTGTGTGTGTGTGTGTGTGTGTGTGTGTGTGTGTGTGTGTGTGTGTGTGTGTGTGTGTGTGTGTGTGTGTGTGTGTGTGTGTGTGTGTGTGTGTGTGTGTGCGTGTGTGTGTGTGTGTGTGTGTGTGTGTGTGTGTGTGTGTGTGTGTGTGTGTGTGTGTGTGTGTGCGTGCGTGCGTGCGTGCGTGCGTGCGTATGCGTGCGGATGCATGTGCGTGCGTGCGTGCGTGTGCGTGCGGATGCATGTGCGTGCGTGCGTGCGTGTATGCGTGTGCGTGTGCGTGTGCATGTGCGTGCGTGCGTGTGTGCGTGTGTGTGCTCTGCTGCAGTCTGCGTGACTGAGCAGCACCACCTGGCGGCAGATCGCCGTCTGCCCCGACAGCAGGAACACGGCCTGGGCCTCTTTCGACGGCCGGTCCTGCAGCGAACTGCGACACGGTGACAGGTCAGGCCAGGGTCAGGCCAGGTCGGGGAACGGTCGGCTGACCACCTGTCGTGATGCACCCGTTGTTTGCCCCAGATCTGCCTGAACCCAGACGCCAGGAACACGGCCTGGGCGTCGTTCGATGGCATGCACCACCAGGAGCTCAGAAAAGGCGATAGGTCTGTGCGGTCGTCGCAAAAGATGAGGCGCTGACCGGTCGGCTGTCGGTGGTGGGGTGTTGCTATCATGGTGACGGCCTTTGTGCATCTCAGATGGGCTCCTTCACTCGAAATCACATTAACGCTGTTGTCGGTTTCATCAATTTTCCTTCAATCAATGCTGGATTTCATTAGCCTTATCTTGACAGTTTCCGAAAATAGTACTGTTAATGAATTTTCGTGCGTAGCATGTGATAGCATCTAGATACGCTGCAAAGTAACTAACTAATGATAGTGCCAACGTGCTTTCAGACTATCTGGGGCGCTTGAGTGAGCCCGCCCCCTTAGTTTATGTAGGTACTTTTGAGGAATATACAGTTAGTGTTTTTCTGGGCTCTGGTGGTAAGTTTTCGCTGCACGAGAATTGTAAATTTTCTTTCTGTGCCCTGGTAGCAAGTGTTCGCTGCCCGAATTGCATGACTTTTGAAATTATTTTTAAGTGTTTCTCCATTACGTTTTTTTAATGGTTAGAATTGTTGGTGATCCGTGCGCATACCAGTCATAGACCGCGTATTATATGCTTTTTTACTTCAGTGTTGTTTGATGCCTACCGCGCTGCATGGCCTCATGTTGGCTTTGAAACTTTCAGTGAACTTTTCGTGAGCACTGTCTGGCAGCTTGGCTCCCCCAATTGTCTGTATATTTATGTGCACTTCGGTCTCAGCTTCGTCACGCAACGCTTGACCTATTTCGCTGCACATTGCTGTCGCTGTGGCTACTGCGCACAGCGTTGAACGGGCCAGCAAGCGAGTGATAATGTGATGTAGAGAAGACAAGCGAGCGCCGCAAGCTGTGTGTTGTTGCCCGGACTTTATAGTTCACTGACATATCCATGCGGGAGAGGGATAAGCCTGTGACGTTCAAAACACTGTTTCTGATTCTGTCATTTGGTTATGCCCCTTACGCCTAAGGAATCGGCGTTCCTTTTCGAGCCCAATGATTTTTCGGGTCCAATTTCATGTCCAATGGCGAACACATTTTACTGACCCTCTGTGGTTGATCCAATGTAGCTTATTCAGTGCTTTCTGACACCATTTTCGTTACACTGTGTATCTTCATTTGTTGATGCTGCAAAGCCGGAGTTGAATCGAATAAAGCCAAAATAAATAAGATCGGATGAATAATGAGCCTGATCCCAGGGTCCTCACCCGGTTGGGTCACCAATGACTCTGAACCCGTTTGGTCCATGTTTAAACTTCAACCGTCTCCCTCTCTTCGCTGATCCCAGTGTGTTCTGGCAGCGACCGTCTGTGACCGGCGTGACCTTGACCTGTGTCTCTGCGGCAGCCTGCGGGTGACCACCTCCGTCTTCCCCGTGCCCTCCATCTGCGCGTCCGACCAGATCACCGACTGGTTCGACTCGCTCGACGAGTGCCTGCGCTGGAACGACCGCAAGAAGCAGCGCCAGCTGGACACAGCTGACGTCATCTACCCGACCGTCGACGAGAGCCCGGCTGAGAGCTAGGGCCGCCGGCTGGGCCCTGCGGCGTAGATGGCGCCAGGCTGTCTGGTGGACCAGAGCGCCCCCTATAACACTCCACAGCCCGAGGCACAGAGGTCGCCTCGCCGACATTCCAAAGTACTCCGATATCAAAGTACTCAGAGGAGGCAGCTTCAAATGTATGTGCTGTATTGACTACCCGAAGTTCGAAGAGGTTGCCAAAGCGTTTCACAGTGGCCGATGTTCTCACCGGACACCCGGCGAGTAGAGGACCTTTCATGGCCGCCTGGTGGGCTGAACACCGGAAGATTAGAAAGAGCCGCTGTGTGTGCGCTCCCCAGCGTACTCAGCACACGTACATAGTGTATGTTTTGTAACGTATGACCCCCGTGTGTGGCGTTCCCCTGAGGCGTTCGTCTTCACAGTTGTCCATATGTGAACATCTGAGTGGTATTGTTTGAGGGAGACTATCGAATAATTCCGGCAGCATTTGTTATGTTCTGTGCGGTATCTGCCACACAAATATTTGCATGTGCCAGCGTTCTTATAATGCTCCTAGGAAAGCCGTGTATGCGCCTGGAAATAATCTACAGCGCTCCGAAAATCGTTTTATCAACCACCCAAGTGCCTACATTTGGCTAAATTGTTGGGCAGGAATAATGCGGACGTCCTAGACTCATTTTAATTGTGTAGTCATCTTATGCGCCACCGCCATTAGACGACATCGTATTTCTTAGACCGAATTAGTCCCATTATCTTTACTTGGTGTTGTGACATGATCTAAGGGTGTGGGATGCTTTCACTCAGAAAACCCCGGTGACTCACTTGTATGAGTATGTTCGCCGCAAGTATTTAAAGTTTTCTTCAGTATCCTCGTATCATTCATGACGAGTGTCAAACGCAACAGTGTCGTTTGAGTCAAGCTGTCGTTTAAAAGCAGTAACTGTCTGGTAATGTGAAAGGGGCTCTCCATCTTCCCTCAAATAGAGCCAAGGTCGCTGAAAGTCTTCGGTAGCAATAACATGATGTTAAAATACCCTCGAACAAACTGCTCGACTATTAGGAAAATGCAGCGGGCATTGTCAGCCCAGTGCTATCTATTCTTCCTATTATTACCGTTCTTCCGGTATAAACTTCACACAGTGCCTGTACACAGAGAACCTCGCAGACTCTGTCCAAGTGCCTTACATTCGGTAGACGGCGGACGGCTAATAACTTACCCGGGCGCCACGGGAGGATGCCATGTGGTGACGTGTTTGGCGCCTTGCCGTCGACGACAGCCTGTGGACCGTCCATTACGGCATGTAACGGAGCGCTGTATGGCTTATGCAGTGATGGTGGGGCTTAATGTGATGGTTTTCTAACGGCTGGCAATATGTCGGGGAAAGCCTCGAAATTCCTTGGATTATTTCGCCATCCGTCTTTATAAAGGCACGACGTTGCTTAATCTCCGGATGTGTGTCATTTGTCATGACACATATCAGGTGTCATTTCTTTTTCTCATAGCGTGTGTCATTTCTGCTGTTGTGCATACAGGTGGACGTCACATGTCGGAGAGCTCTCTATGGCGATGATGTTGGTGAATGTGTGTCAGTAGTTGATAATTAGACTCACTATGCAAGTCCAGGGCAGGATGTACAAGCGCACACTTGGCGAGAAGCCGTGTCAGAGTTCAACAGTCGCCCGTGCCTTCTAGGCGTTTGGTCATCCGGTCCTCCCTGTTCCCGCGAATATATTCTAGTTTTAAACGGCAAGGCGTTTCACAAAACTGGCTCGCCATGGTTTTCATTCGTCGAAATGGCACTCTTCTCACTGTCAGAAAACATCGCTCGCACCCTTTGGCTGGACTACTAATAGAGTGAGAGGGTGTTGAGCTACATGTCGCACTGATAAATACCGTCCCACCTTTGATCACCTTGATTAAGGGCGAGGTGATGTGCAGAGCTTATCTTACCGTCAGCTAATCGTAAATTGTGTGCATTCAGGAGCCCGTCCAGACAAGGCCCAGCCAGCCGCCACGCCCTTGACGGCACTGGATCTTGACAGCCAGGGTCGTGCCGTCAGGGAGCTTGCGGCAGTGAAGGGAACATTTACGTAAAAGCTGCACTTTAATACAAATGCTAGAGGCGTTTGATTGCAAGCTGCTGGACCAGGCTGCTTGATTTCCTGCAATACAGAAATATTGCCGAAGTTTCACCCCTCTTTAGGTCAGCCTGGTCCAAGGAGCCTGGGCTGTTTAATGCCTTCCATCCTTTCGAACAGTATGAACCTGTGCACCAGCCGATCCATAGTGGCCCAGGCTGCAGGCGACACATAACTGCTCGTTTGTGGTCGTTGAGAGCAACTTGCCCAGATCATTATGGAAACTGGACTCACATAAAATGTCAACTGGTTAAGCCGTAATTAAAAAACAGTGTGACAAAGAGTGGTAAAAGCTCAACCTAGTACATGATGCGTGGAAAAGTTATTCGCCTTCATTTTCGCGAAACAATCGAAATTGGAACATCGACGGTGACTGAAGTCGGAATTACCAATGATCTGGGCACCACGGCTGACAGAACCTTGATCTTTCAGCCATACACTGACCAACTGACAGCGAAGTGTACTGGAGCACTCGCCGCGCTCATTCTCCAATTACCGCGTTCCGCGCGCTCTCCGCTTCGGCGAGGGGTGGAAGAACTCGTGACGTCATCAATCTGAATCGACGTTTTACCCTCACAATGTCGTCAAAACGTGTAAGAATTTTGGCGGCCCAAGATTTACTCGAATTCCACCAATTAGTTTTTACCAAAGATTTGCGACTGACAGATCTGCGAGCGTTGTACCACACAGGACACCCGTCGGAATCGCGAGCATTACCTCGGGACTGCCCAGTACAACTACACCCCTCAAGAGACAGCACAACTGAAAGCCACGCAAGCCAAAACGCACAGCGGAAAGTGGAAACTCAGTGACGAGCCGGCATCATTACTGAGGCCATGCAAAACACGCTGCCCACGTTAAGCGCCCCAAGGCGGAGCTGGCTCGCCCTCTGATCCGGGGTGGTCAGCTGAGCTGAGTGTGACTTACTGTCCTCGTTGATGAGTTGTGAGTGGGTTGAGCTGTGATAATTGCTAGTTTGTTTTCCCCCCACTCTCTATTTTTTAAAATCAATTTCGACTTCAAACACGTTGATGACAAGTTTAGAAGCATTCGAGAAAACATCGTAGTGAGCTTAACTAAACTGAGTTGTGCTGGTGTAAAATGGCCGGCCGTGGATGGGGAGCTGTCACCACAATGTAACTGATGGCCTGATTGATGTAACTAATGCCTGACAATGTAACTGATGACCGCAACGTATATGAATCGTCCTTTTCCTTCGCTCGATCACTGACACGAAGAACATGCTTGCTACCAAGACAACTGTAAATACAAACTCGGAACATGTATTATCGCAATACATCTGCACACGCGTGCCCAAAATAGGTTCTCTTTGGTCACTCATTTCGGCACGGCCAGTAGAGGATCTGTGGTGACTGTCATCCATCAACACATGCCACCGCTGTCCTCGTGTCGATGGGTCACGCCAGCTACCGTTCAGCGCGCCACAATGCTCCGAACACATCAGCCACATGGCCGCAAAACCCTTTAACAGGCATCCAACAGATTCTGAACCAGGGACACAGACCAGGCACAGGCTTAATCAGCGCTGCGACGGCAGAGCGGTCTATCTGGACCCAGGCTGCTGGAAAAGATTGCTGTTCATACGGTTTTGGGTGCTTGGCAGGCATTTGGAAGACTGCCAATGTCTGTG